ATGGGAGGCGTAGAGGTCAGCCGTGGATATGTGTGTCAGGTGCGCTGGCTTGTTCAGGACAGCTCGAATTTTGCGAGCGTGCCAAGCCCGCAACAGTTTAGCTGTCTCTAGGGTCAAGCCCACATCCACCAATCCAGAGGCTACTGTGGCCCAGACAGTGCTATGCCAAATGTGCAACCGCGATGCAGGCCCCGCCGTTCGTCTGTTGTGAACGAAGCGGCGTACCTGCTGCAATTTCACATTGCCCTCCTGCAACCGGAACTTGAGAGTAGCCTTCTCGAAGTTGGAGTAGGAGAGCATGACGCCGAGATACTTAAAGGACGTCACCAGCGGAAAGCCCTCGTGAGACTTGGACTCTCCCAGTCTCCACATCTTATGGCGGGTTCCGTCAGGCGCGGTGCGCCAATAAGTGTGCTTGGAGATGGCGCGTTGCGCCTGTTGGCCCTCGAGTTTGACCATAACAGTGCATTTTGCACCGTTGACAGCAAATCCATGGCGACGGACCAACTGCAACAATTGCTCAATCAGAGCATGAGCGCGATCCAGGTCCTCCATTGAGTGGATGTCACGGTGAACCGTAAGGTCATCTGCGTAGCCCGTGAGGTAGTCCACCACGGCTCGAACCCCAACAAGAGCTATGAGCTCCCGGAAGATGGTGCCCGTAAGCATGGAAAAAAGTGTGGGGGCAAGCTTACACCCCTGTTTAATGCCCGCAGTGGACTGGACCGTGTCCTCTTCACCCTGGGTGCGAAACGTGTAAGCACTGCCAGCATGCAATGAGGCAACTAGGTCAATGAGGTCTTGCGGGACTCCCGCTTCCTGCAGTGTGCTAAGCAAGTCTGTTCTGCTCACCATGTCAAAGGCTTGTGACAAGTCTAGTGCAAAGCAGATGCCACCTACTAGCTGGGGACGAGTTCGTCCCGAGTGAAGCTGATGCCTGGTTCGTCGGGCCTCCTGGCAGTTATTGCGTACCTGAGTGACATGACCAACGACCCTGCTCAAGGCATCTGAAAGACCGCGATGTGGCTGGTAGGCAAATTGTGGGAGACCCCGAAGATAGTCAGCCGTGTAGGGAGACAGCTGATCTCTACAAGCCCCCGCCAGGCCCTTGCCGTCTGGTCGAATGATGCCGAGGGGACGTAGATTGCCAGGCTTCGTGGCCGGCTTGTTAGGCTTTGGGATAAAACACAAGTCAGCATCCTTTAAGGGCGGCTGAAGTACCTCAGCAGCCGGCAATGGGCGTTGCCCCCGAGATTGCAGCGATGCTGCTAGCGCCTCTCCCGCAGCCGCCGAGCAGAGCCGCCAGGCAGCCGCCGGAGCAGAGCCTTGCGGTACCGCCTTGTGCGGTCTGATGGAGCCTATGTGCTTGGCCAGCAGACCAGCCGGGATTTCCGGCAGCGAGTCCACCTGGTGTGCGAGTGGCGGATGTCTGGCAAAGACCTGTTCCACGTGGTCTCTAAGCAGGCGGAGCTCAGAGGTAGAGTCCAACAGCAGACCATCCGGTCCCTGAAGCTGTGCCTTAGTTTGGGGTTCCCAAGGTCGGAGCTTCTTTAAGGTCTTATGTGCGATGTAGGAATCGTGTCTGGCACACGCCTCATCGACCTCAGCCTGGAAAGCTCGGTGTCGTTCCTTCTTGGCTAAGTAGAGAGCCTGCTTATGCCATCGATTCAGGTCCTCCAAAGACTGATCTAGGTCGGATAAGGTGGTTATGGAGTCCTCATGCAAAGAACGAATAATTATGAGCGACTCGACTCCACATTCGCAGCGTCGCACGGTGCTGAGCAGTTTCAGGAGCTTGCTGAGGCCGTGGTTTGGGGAAAAACAGTGCAGAGGCCTCCAGCAGTACCTGATTAACTTCATCAGGCGTGTGAGTCCGAGAGGACAGACGCTGGCCCACCCAGTCTTGCATGCGACCGGCTATTGGCAGACCTGAACGGACAGCCGTCTCTAGAGCTTCCTTATGAAAGGTCGTGGAAGGACAAGTAGGCTTTGGCAGATTCCAGTGCTGGGTGGGTCTGAGTTGAGCCAAGACTGGAAGGTGGCCGCCCCTCTTCCATTTGCCGAGCTGAAGATCCTTGCACGGCCGAGACTGCTTTGCCAGGCCCTTGGCCGAGGCTTCTGAAGTGAGCAGGAAGTCAATTTGTGATCCCTGACCATTCAGGAAGAAAGTGTGACCTGCACCACTAGACCATGTGTTAAGAGCTACCAACCGATGGGAGGAGACTAAGGCTTGGAACGATTCATCCTGCATCTGAGTTTGCTCTGGCTTGGTGCTACACTGACCTACCAGACCCTCCTGCGGGGTCAGTCGAGCATTAAAGTCTCCTGCCAAGAGAAAAGTATCTCGCGCTGGAATGGCCCGTATCGCAGCCGACAGATCGCGGAGCAGGTGTGAGCGGTCATCCTTGTTCTGCTGTGGAGTCTTCTTAGAAGACCAGGCATGTTGGTAAACCGCTAGTACATGCACACGAGCCCCAAGCCACGGGAAGATGACCTGAATGAGCCTTCCCCGGCGTTGCTCGCGCCATCTTATCTTCTGCTTGTCTATCTGCGGAGAGAGAAGAACCATGACGCCGTCCGCTCGGCTTGTGTCGTGAACAGCCGGCTGCGTGGCAGCGCCTTGCTTGGGGCGTTGCCCTGAAGTGGCTTTACCTTTAGGTGCTCGAGCAGCCCCTTTTGTGGCGGAGCTTACGCAGTGCCAGCCTTCGACATCAAATTCTGCTGTCTCACTCCAGTGGGTTTCCTGAAGGACAAGAATGTCACAGACTGACTTGGCCTCCGTGCGAAGCCATGTCTTCACTTCTGCCCATTGTTGCATGCCAAGGTGCCCTGCATTCCAGGAAAGAACACGAAGAGACTTGCTGGCACGACCGCCTCTCGGGCGCGAGCGGAAACTGGCGGAGAAACCTGAGGGACCTGAAGGAGAAATCGTGGAGCTAGGCTGCACTGGGAGGGGGGGAGGGGAGGGGGGGGTGAGTCCACTGCGACGCAGATGTTCAGGCGTCAACGTACCATTCCGGTACGGGATGCTTTCTTGTGTTCTATGAACCTTATTGCAAGCCTTGCGAAAGGCCTTCTTGCGAATGCTCTCAAATGAATGCTGGTGCATTGGCGATTGCGCCGTCCGCTAGTTTCGCCGGAAAGAGAGAACTCGAACCGACTCCTTTCACCCTGCGGAAAAGGTGAAAACCACTACCGCTTACCTCATGCCAAGGTTGTATAACTGCAGACAGAGGTCCGGGAATTGGGACCCGGTAGATCACAGCGACACGCGGCTCCGGGAACAGCTATGGCTCAGTAAGAGGACGGTCCCTTAAGCTTCGCAGAAGGGGCACGTTGCGAGCCTCTAGCGTTGGTACCCAGAGCCTTGTTGGCAAAGCTACACAGCCTGCTGTGATCCATAGCGGCTACAACAACAACAACAACACCAACAACAACACCAACAACAACACCACCACCACCAACAACAACAACAACAACAACAACAACACCAGCAACAGCAACAGCAACAGCAACAGCAACAGCAACCGCAACCGCAACCGCAACGGCAACAGCAACAGCAATAGCAACAGCAACCGCAACCGCAACGGCAACAACAACAACAACAACTACAACAACAACAGCAACAGCAACACAAGCGAGCCAGCAAGCGATAATGTTAAATAACACGTGCCCAATGCAACCCATTCGCTCGAGGTTGCTCGCAACTGTCTAGATTGTATAGTGGGGTGTTGCAGAGAAAACGAGCAAGCGAGCAAGAAACAAGCAGCAATTCAACATCGTCGCGGTCATCACCACTGTCACCGACATCGACGTGGCAAGTTCTAACTGGAAAGTTAGTGCATCACCGAGCAAACAGAAAGAATGCCCGACAGCCCAACACAACGAACAGACCCAAATCCCCACAGCGCACCTGCATACTCGGAGTTTCCACGAATCCAATCCCAGGACCTTCCTGCCAGGCAATCAGGGCAGGCTGAAGTTCAAAGCTGCGAAATTCCAACGAACTATTCCCAGCTTGAACACTTCAGGACCAACGAACATGAGTACAAAGAACAGAAACCTTTATTCTGCAACCTGGCCGCTCGGCGCACGCTTCGGCTGCCAACCGTCCCAAGACGTGCCTTTGCTGGAGTTATGTAAGGGTGCCGAGTCCCTTTGAGGTCAGGATTCTTGAAGCTGCTTGACATAGGATGGAAGGAACACTGGCTCCGGCCCTGCTGCCGTGGCAAAACTGGTAGCTTCTAGACTACCCTGAACCACTCCAAACCCCGGATCATCCTAGCTTTTTAACCCTGAACCTTCCTAAACCCTTGATGCGACTTCAGACCTTTGCCCGACCTCCTTCTAGCAAACCCTGTGAAATCCTCTGGAATACCTCTATCAAGCTCTTAAAAGCAACCGTAGAAAACTTGCAAATGACCTCATACGACCCCTATTAAAAAGGCCCAAGGCCTCGGTTGGCCAGCAGTGACGGCAAGCCTTTGCCGCTATCGGACGGCCGACGTCTAGTTGTGCTTCATGAGGATTACACTTAGCTCTCGGTAACAAACCACAGGTGCTTCAGAGTGGGTATCGTAGCAAAGCAGAGCAGGCACTAGCAAAAGCAAAGCATCGCAGGAGATCAGATCAGACTTGTAGTTGGTCACTCAGCTAAGAGGCCAAGCCAGGGCTTCTCTAAGCACTAGCAGCCTTTTGCTGGGCTTCGCGATGTGGGTCTTGAGTAACCAAGCTGCGGTGTGAAACAAAGATGGTCAGACGGACGACCAGCATGCGGGGTGTACGGCTACTTACACTTGGCGATGACAAAACAGGCTGTAGGTCCTCCTCCAGAAATACCGTGTGCTCAACACAATACCACCACAACATCCATCATGGCAATCACCAACATCGTCCTCATGCTTATCTTCATCATAGCCATATCCATCATCCCAATCGATCTCACTCTGCACTCTGAAAAAGAAATTGATATAGTGGGAGCAGATTGTGATCCCAGATGTCCCCCTTGTTCCTGCGAGACAACAAGAGCCAGGCCTTCTGGCCCCTCCACATTCTCGCTATCGGCGTCCACGAGATCGCCTGGGTCTGTGCGGCTCAGGATTTAGGGTTTCAGGTTTGGGGTTTTAGTAAACTTATATATATATATGTATATATGTATATATATATGTACAATTATATATGCTTACGTATATACAGCCTTTTCTTGCTCAGGGCATGGCCTCTCGTCACCGGATCCACAAACTGCGAGTGTGCATCCTCGCTATGCTCGAGCTCTCGCTGCCCTTCTTCTTCCGAGGGATCGCCTGGGCGAGGAAACACCGACCGCATCGCAGTATATTGTTTAAAGCGTCCTATGCTACTAAGCTGTTGAGCCCGTACTGTACTTCGCACTGCACATGATGAAGAGGGATAAGAGAAGGCATGTATGTGTAGGTGGGCCTGCCATGCTTCCAGTAGAAAAAATCTCAGTCGGTGCGAAACTTTTAACTCTAGACGCCCTCAGGCGGTCAGATCGCACGTGCAGTCATGTTTATGTACTTACGGCAATGGCATGGCAACTCACTTAAACCCTTTTCCTCTGAAGTGGTTTCGACATGGAACCCAGAGCTCACTCTGTCCGTGCAAGGGCAAGCCTTTACATAGGTCCAAGGGGGCCACTACTCTCGCATATCCTTCTCAGCAGGGAAATATTCGGGTGCAAGGGGGGGTGAGAACGCACAGCCCACAACCACACACATACATACATACATACATACATACATACATATATACACATATATATAGATAGATAGATAGATAGATCGATAGATAGATAGAGTTGTTGTTTGCTGCACTACTTGCTTGCAGAGCTATATGGCTATATCTCTGTGGCATCAACAAGCACGAATGCCCGCTCAATTCCTCCCGAGGTTTGAACCATAGTGCATAACGTCCCCTTGCAGCCTTGAAACAGTATACAGAAAAACACCCCCAGACCCTAAATTTAAACCCTAATTCTGTTACATGGATTCTGACCCGCCACGATGACAAGGGCGGGACCTGGAAGTTTCGATGTTGCACCAGAAAAGGAGGGGAGCTGCCGATGAGTCAAAACAACCCCTAAACCCTAAACCGAAAAGAACCCTATGATTCTCCCGTCGTCGCAACACGGTCATACATCTAAACATACATAGTGAATGAATGCATGAATAAATGAATGAATAACAGAAAACGAATATACATACATACATACATATGATATAACCATTATGAAGATAACAACAATATCGATCAGGATACCTGCAAGCCTGCAAGAACAAGAAACTGAAATAGTGGAGGCATGTTATGATCCTAGATGTCCCTCTTGTTCCTGCGAAAGAGACGACCAGAGCCCAGCCTACAGCTTGCCCGTCGGCGCTGTTGCCGTCTGTGCATGCCTGGCTCTCGGCTTCGCCATCAGCGAGATCGCCTGGGTGCTAAAGGCCCCACGGTGTGTGAATCCTTCGATTCTGCGCGGCTCAGGATATAGGATTTCAATTGGTTTCAGGCTTAGGGTGTACGGTAAACCCTGAAAAAAGTCTCAAGGATTTCAGGGTCAGGTTTGATCTTTACGGTTTGAAGGCTCCAGGCTGCATTGTTTCCTCAGGGCACGGCCATTCGTCGAGTTTGCACCCGCACGCAGTTCTTCCGAGGGATCGCCTGAAGATGGTAAGACGCACAACAAGCATGCAGGGCGCACGGCTACACCACTAGTCGATGACAAGTCACATTAGGGCTTAAGAAGGTTAGGGATAAGGCTCCATTTAGGCGCTTTGAGTACTTGAACGTTGTAGCTTGCGTCATAAGGACCCGCTGCCGCAGAACTCACCGTTCCTGCCTGCGCTTCCTGTTCAGCCTCTGGGCCCCCATGCTAAGGACGCAGCCGATCATCCTGTCAGGGTCTGCAGCTACCTCCTGCTCAGAGACAAGCTGCGGATGCTGCCAGGATGACTAGCCGCTCCCTGAGAATAAGGGAGGCCCAGATATTCCCATGCACATGAAGGAAAGGCTTGTTTCTTTGCAGGCGATCTGGCGGAGGAACGTCTCATGCTCTTGCTCCTCGTCCTTTCTTTCGTCTTCAGGAAGGTCGCCTGGCTCACTGTCAAATACAAGAAGGTGCCTTCCGTGAGGTTGCGACCACGCTTCTCACGACCTACAAAGCGCTTGCCAAGGAGCTGCACTCAAATTACCATTGTGAAGATAACAACAATATCGATCAGGATACCTGCAAGAACAAGAAACTGAAATAGTGGAAGCATGTTATGATCCTAGATGTCCCTCTTGTTCCTGCGAAAGAGACGACCAGAGCCCAGCCTACAGCTTGCCCGTCGGCGCTGTTGCCGTCTGTGCATGCCTGGCTCTCCGCTTCGCCATCAGCGAGATCGCCTGGGTGCTAAAGGCCCCACGGTGTGTGAATCCTTCGATTCTGCGCGGCTCAGGATATAGGATTTCAATTGGTTTCAGGCTTAGGGTGTACGGTAAACCCTGAAAAAAGTCTCAAGGATTTCAGGGTCAGGTTTGATCTTTACGGTTTGAAGGCTCCAGGCTGCATTGTTTCCTCAGGGCACGGCCATTCGTCGAGTTTGCACCCGCACGCAGTTCTTCCGAGGGATCGCCTGAAGATGGTAAGACGCACAACAAGCATGCAGGGCGCACGGCTACACCACTAGTCGATGACAAGTCACATTAGGGCTTAGAAGGTTAGGGATAAGGCTCCATTTAGGCGCTTTGAGTACTTGAACGTTGTAGCTTGTGTCACTAAGGACCCGCTGCCGCAGAACTCACCGTTCCTGCATGCGCTTCCTGTTCAGCCTCTGGGCCCCCATGCTAAGGGCGCAGCCGATCATCCTGTCAGGGTCTGCAGCTACCTCCTGCTCAGAGACAAGCTGCGGATGCTGCCAGGATGACTAGCCGCTCCCTGAGAATAAGGGAGGCCCAGATATTCCCATGCACATGAAGGAAAGGCTTGTTTCTTTGCAGGCGATCTGGCGGAGGAACGTCTCATGCTCTTGCTCCTCGTCCTTTCTTTCGTCTTCGGGAAGGTCGCCTGGCTAGTCTGGTCTTTCGGGCTTGAGGGCTCAAGGCTGTGTTCTTCAGCTTGACTACGCTCCATTTTATTGTCTTCGGGCTCTTCGTGCACCTCCTGGCCCTCTTCTACGTCCGAAAGAAACAAGCCTTTCCTTTTGGTTTGGGGTGTAGGGCTTAAACAGGCTCGCGAACAAGACGGATCGCTTGTCGCAGCCCGGTTGACTCTAGCATGCTTCTGGAGACAAGCTTCTACTACAGGCCGGCATCGGGAGGAAACCGGGACGGTGCGAAGATAAACCGAAACAACGATACAATATATGGAAAGAGAAACAGCGAGTGAGAGAGAGAGGGAGAGTGAGAGAGAGACAGAGCGAGATGAAGACAAGCCAAGAAAGAGAAACGGCGAGTAAGAGAGATGGAGAGAGAGTGAGAGCAAGAAGGAGGGAGAGAGAGCGAGAGACAGACAGAGAGGGAGGGAGAGACAGAGCGGGAGGGAGAGAGAGAGAGAGAGAGAAAGAAAGAGATAGAGGAGAAAGGGAGGGAGAGAAAGAGCACGCAGGAGAGAGACCAGTGTCCTGTGTTCCCCTGTCGGAGGATTCGAGCCGGAATCCCCACATCCAAAACACAACGTCTGAAGGCGATTAAACCCTACACTATCCCTGAACCCTGGATCCCGACAGACCGTTGTCTTGAAAATGCCCCAACAAAATCCCTTATCAATCCCTACTCAACAAACTTCGTTGAGCGTGAAGCTATCAAACCACGGCACACACAGAGGCAGCTTATTTCAGCACCAGGCCACGGTTTTTCTTAACCAAGGCCTGGTGCTGAAATAAGCTGCCTGTCAAAGAAGAGGGGCCTAAACCCTAAACCTAAGGGTCCATGTACCCTTAAAGCCCCAAAGCTAGCTGGGCTCGACCGGAGGAGGCTCGTTTAGGGTGTCAAGGCTCCTCATAAGATGCCCCCGCGGGAAGGGTTTAGGGTTTAGGGCCTTCAGGGTTTAGGGTTAAGGGTCAAGTGTAGAAGCCTGAATAATTACCAACATTATTTCTTATGGTTCCTCATAAAGTGATGCGATAAAGGAGCCCAAAGACTACGTTACCTCAGGATGCCCCTTTCGGGACTTCGGACAGTCGCAGAAGCGCCGGAGACATCTCCAAAATCTCAGGCCGCGGCGAGTCGTGTGCTTTGCCTCTTCAAACAGAATGGCGATGTGCGCTGAAAGATTTGGCTCCGGGTCGGGGTTTAGCAGTAGTATACTGTCTAAGACTGCACTCTGGCATCTTTTGCTGCAGGGCACAAGGACTTATCTGTAAAACACGATGCACAGAAGTCTTTGGGGCTATGCGGAGCTTCAGGGTTTACAGGGCCTTATGTCGGGCGTGAATGATTGGAACAGGCTGTTGGGGAATATACTACAGTTATGGTAAGGCCCAACGAATAGTATGACTAATTGCTCTGCCTTCCACTTTGTGATAGCTTTCCGCAGGAGTTGGCCTTCACGGTTATGGTCTCTGGCACCCAATATGCGCCTTCAAGCCGCAGGATAAGGATAGGCGCGGCTGAAGCCTTAAAACTGAGCCCAGCAACCTTCGAAACCTCAGAGCAAATACGGACAATTTCGACACAATTATGGTCATGTGACTGCAATAGCCTGGCCCATGGATCACTCTAAGGGCAAGTGTGCACTAGTTGGTACTTGGGCTCAAGGAAGTAGCTGCTGCAGCTGGTCGGTTTCAAGGTAACCGGGCGCCTGGGCCCCAACTGCCTTAACTCATCTAAGCATCGAAGGCTTTGGGATCCAAGTGTTGTAATCGTCAAAGGTACGTTTTCAATAAAGCTTTCAGGTGCTGCTTGTGCTAGGTTACACCAAAAACAGGCCTGTGCTACAGTAGAGCCAATAACAATTAACCAGGGAAACTCAAAATATCCCAAATCGGTACCTAGAGCAGGCATGGGCTTCAGATGTTTCTTGAGCGCCGCATTAACGAACCTGGGGTAGCTGTTTCAGACATCCCATCTTCTTGTCTTGTTGATGCGTCTGCGATCTTATTTGCGCTGCGTACTGTATCAACTACTGATCGTACTGTACTGCTACTGTACCACATGCTCTTAGGTCTTAAAAACCACCCGGCCAACCAGAAACGGTGCGGAGAGCATGCCTGCGCGTGCAGCAGCGCAATGAAGTGAGCGCGCTGCGCGGGGGACCATCTGATGGCCTGGCGGCAGCGGCGGTTCTTCATGCGCAGACGACCGGCTCAACTACACTTCATGTATCTGCGGTTTAGGGTTTAGGGTTAGGGTTTGGGTTTAGGGTTTAGGGTTTAGGGCTTCACACTAGAAACTTTCGCACTCCCGGAATGTACCAACACACTGACCCGCACACAAACCCTTCTCAAACATGCCGAAATTACCGCATGCCACAAGGCTGCGGCCGATGGGTGGCACTCCACCACAGCGGGGAGTCTGGCGGCAGCTGCGACAGGGATCGACTAGGGAATATTGTACATTAAATATCAAGCATTATATGCCATATGTTCATACTATATCACGTACATAATACCGTAGATATTACACATTACATTTACTGACGGTTCAGTGTTAAAGCATATATCCCATATGTGATATATTCCTGTACATGTATACATATATATATATATGTATATTTACAAAAAGGTTTACTTACATGTGTATGCATACATCTATTTTGCAATTATACAGATGTAAAGATACAAACATAGATACAAATATGGTTATACATTTCGATATAGAAACAGATGTCTATGCAGATGTAGATATCGACTTGGATATGGATATAGATATGGACATAGAGATGAATACAGAGATGGATCCCAACGTAGATATAGCTATCGGAATAGACATAGATATAGCCATAGAAGTCAACATAGTTACAGATATACATATAGATACATGTATGGATATAGATGCATACATATATACATATATATATATATATATATATATGCATATACATATACAAAAAACTATGTGTAAGTAGACATGTACAGATGTATAGATAAACAGATAGACATCTAGCTGTCTAGTCTGCATATGTCAGTTTGCATCTGTCTTTAAACAAGAAGATAATATGTATACACCCCTGTGTTCGATAAATATATCTTTATCTTTGTCTGTGAATAGACAAACAAGTAGATAGATAAATAGATGTATAGATCTATAGCTATGAAAGCATAAAGACATATGGATATATGTGAGGTATATAGATGTTCAGATTACGCAGATATACAGATATATAGGTATATAGATAATCGATCTGAAGATGGATAGACAGACAGATCCTTAGATACATAAGTATGCAGTTACATAGCTGTAATTATACATATATAAGCGGAAACAGATATGTAGACAATAACTATGCAGGTGTATAAAGATATATAATACAGGTATATAGCAATGTATAGATCGACAGATAGAGTTATAGATACATGGATATATACATGTATAGATATATTGGTATATAGATGCTTGGATCTGCAGGCATATATACATATACAGATGTGCAGGTATAAAGGTATCTAGATACATAGGTATGTGTATATATGTATATATATATATATATGTATGTATAGAAGTACAGATATATTATATAGGTCTGGAGATACATAGATATACAGATGTAAACATTTGTGGATGTAAAGATATACCGATATGCAAATATTAGGTCTGTAGATTAATGGTATAGAACGATAGATCTTCCCACATAGTACATATGCATTTATGTCCTTTCCTTCTGTTTGGTTTTGTTGCTTTATCGAAGATGCCCCACTTTCCCTGCCCGGCTCGGGGCAGCTGGGTCTCCGGACCGCTGTGGCTTGCCAACGCCGGAAGGTCCACCTAGAACTGCTAAACACGCGCACGACGATGTTCAGAATAGCGACACACTCGTAATCCAACTCTTTGTATCAACTACCACTACACAAAGCGAAGAACTGAAGGAGACTGTGCGCTGCTGCATCGGCAGGTTGCCGGTCCCAACACAAGCCGGGTGTGCTGATCGTGGATTGCAGGCACGATGGCGCACCCATCGGGCCAAGAAAAGTTGATGTTGAACTCAGTGCCATCAGCTCGTACGCAGCAGAAGCTGTAGTAGAACTGTCCATGGTTCAGACAGGAAGCGAAAGTCTTAACAGAGCCAGGTCATGTTATCTCCTGCTCTCCTGCCATGTCTGACTAATGTGAGGCACCTTGAACGAAAGACCGCCGGGTCCAAGTCTCCACGACCACCTCAGAGTACCAGAGGATTGCTCTTCACCGGAATCCGAATGCCGACTAATCTGAGGTGAACCTGCAATCTACATGGCTCGTGCAGTTCAGACTCCATTGGCTTGCAACTGCTTGCAACCAGGTACGAACCTGTCGGCTTCCATCGACTAAAGCTTCCCAACTTTGAAACAGCCTGACCAAATCATGTCGTCACGTCTACGTCTGCAAGATCCCGAGCCACACAAATTTAATACTGCTCAAGGGTCACATGTAATCATGAAAATCCCCAGCTCCGACGACGAAAAACAGAGAGTTTGTGTACGAGGGCCCCGGGCTTCCGCACAAGTCGGTATGTCTATCTGATCAGATGGGACGAGCATGCGTGTGTTTTCCAAGTCTCTCAAGAAATGCCAAGCCGTGCCTCCCTGAAACTGCATTCTTGCACCCCGCGGTCCGGGAACCACCAAGGCTGCTGCCAAGCTTGATCACGGAAACGTGCTGTGCTTGAGCCGAGCCGAGTCCATCAGCGATGAGTGAAAGCGCGTGACGTGCACGTGAAGCCTGGGTCAAACTCGGACCTTGGCCTCGCGAATCTCTGTCTGCAAAGCTGTATCGTTTCTCCGAAGCGTCAGGGCACGCCCTGTTGGTATGTTTTGACGAGTTGCCACGACTTGGATTTCCAAGCATTGATGCCGGAAGCCACACCTACCGCCTGGAGCCGTCGCGCGACCACACAACATCCCCGGCACAAGCTCTGGAGGTCTAATCTCACAATCCTCCGGCCCCCAGGCGGAAAGCGAGACTCCAAGCCTGAAAACGGTTCTGAGCAACGCCTCGCATTGAGGCCCTAACCTAAAACGACATCTCTGCTCGAAAGACCCAGTGCACCACAGCACCATCATCATTGAACACTATAAAGGGTTACCAATTTCCAAAGTCTGCGAACAGGGTTCTACAGACCCTGAAAAGCTAAGCGCCCTGAGCCCAGCCGCAGGAACCCTGCTGACATGATCTCCAAGGCACCCCGAGTCTCGAGAGGCTTCAAATGCCACCCAGGTCAATAACTACATGGTGGCTCATCCCCGGCTGACTGTGTCAGTCAGCCACTGAATTCATCGCTCTGTTCAGGACCTCGACAAGACCGGCTTTTGGAGCAGTCCACATCCCAGGGTCGAACATTGGCAGCTTCTATCAGACCTTTTCATTCTTGAATCTAGGGCTGCCTGGCGGGACAAGCCTAAACCCTGTAAAGCCTGTGCCCTCCTCTGTAAACCCTTGGTCCGCTGAATTTGGCGACCAGGGAAGAAACGCGATTCGCTGCAAACGCTGAAATGTCGCTTCGAAAAACCATAACTGCCCGAACTCCGATAACCCCCTTCCCCTCATGAACCCGACCAGGCCACTCCCCTCCGCCTGACATCTCTGAGGACGAGGCTTTCCATCGTCCTTGTCATCAGACATGCGACCAGCGCCTCAACTACACACTTGGAGCAAGTTCAAAGCCCTGAACGGAGATGCGGACTGCCACTCCAAACACATCGCGCCTCCACTACAGCTCCGACTCCCATGACACCTTCGCCCTGTACGAGCTGAGCAGTTTGCACACCAAACGTGATGCCGCCATGTGCACCCCGCCCCCCCCTTCAACAACGTTCTGACTCCCATCCGATCCACAGACACTCTCATTCCACCTTCCTCTACAACTCCCACCCCATTGATTGCAGCCAAAGCAAGACTCTGAGCACCCCAGCCGCCGGAGTGTCAGCATTGAGCCCTCAACCCGTAGCTACGCAATACCCAAACCCCAGGCTAGGAATTAAGGTCTCGGTTCCAAGGCTTACGATTTTGGGTTGCGTTCCTTGTTCGTTTTCTTGTAGGGGTCACAAGGGAACTACAATATGACAACGCTGTACTGCTTTACTGCGATGGAACTACGATATTTTAACTGCAATGCTATGTATAGGCTATAATGCTATGATGCAAGCCACAACGCTGTTCTACTATATATATGCAGGCTGTCACCCTCTGCATGGTAGTTCTCAAGTTTTCGCTGATCTGAGGCTCAAGGGTTAAGGGTTTTGGGTTCGAGGTGGAAGTTGGTTGTTGTAGCTTGTTGCGTTCAGTACCTCCTAGGGTTCAGGAGTTTCGAAGTCGATGCATCCGGGGGTTACGTGCCAAAACTTCGTTCCCAGCGAAAACCAGGCCGTAGGGTTCAGGACATGGTGCCAGGGCTGGGGTGCTTCACAAAGGTTCACACCCTTGCCACCCTAACTGGAAGCATCTCCTACAGCTCAGGCCCCCGGCGGCCGCTGTTTCTTCGTGTCCCTGCACTTGCGCTGCGCACACTGCACGTTAGCAGACAGTGCAAGCTGACCCTCGAACATGCAAGTTTGATGTGCTATAGTGCACGGTACTAGTGTACCCTTGGATATCATGGCAAAATCCGGTATACTAGGACTACCGTACGCTGTAGCTTGGCTCCCGTGGCCTCTCAGAGACTGCTTAGCCTGCACTTTTATAAAAGCTACAGCATACTGTAGCATAGTGAACGTTAACATATAGCGATATAGGATAAGACATGGCAGAAAAGGGTGGTTTACTTTTCAGCTGCATAGGCGCCAGTGCGAAGGAAGACATGAACTGCCCAAGCTCTGGTAATGCAGCAAATTTGATTGAGCTACATGTGCTCGTAGTGTTTCCTGTCAAAATGGAGTATAGAACAGTGTAGTAAAGTATAGTACAAAGTAGTGCAGTGTACATGGTGTCGGGTAGCTTCAAACTGTAGTGTATAGTGTAGTCACAGTGCAGCCACAAGCCCTAGGTTAGGCACACGCACTTTTTCCCCGAATCCGACGAGGTCCGAGAAGTGGCAGATCAGATCAAAATTCCGAGGGACCCGGGGCAGGCATAGCTCAGACAGGTCCGAAGACCGGTCGGAAATACGCCACCCCACCTCGAATTGATCAAACAAGGGGTTTCACAACCCCCAATCCGATCCGAGATAAAACAGAAGACCCGGGATCCCGAGAGTGAGCGGTCCGTACCGAAACAAAGCGCAGGTAATCGGCACCTGAGGCAACCGTACCTAGCATTCGTATCCGGCTTGAAAGCAGGGCCCGAGGAAAGAGCCCCCAGCTATTGCTCCGATTTGAAGGCAAGGAGCTTGTCCAGGATCATCCAACTCGGAGACCAGGAAAGGGAAACATCCCTCCTATTTCCGGGGGAGAATCCTTCGAAATCAAAGTGAGTGAGCTGATCTGCCCACGTGTTGGAGCTACGCTTGACATGGGTGACCTGAGCAAAGACACCCTTGTGGAACTCCTGCGCGGAAAGTTCCATTAAAAGCGCCGAGCAAGGCCACTTCTTCGAAGATCTCTTGCTGGCCGAAAAGGCATTACCCTCATTGTCTGTAGTAAGAGGGAGGTGAGCATCCAACATGCTGGGTCCCAAGGACTCCGCAGCCAAAAGAAAAAGAATGAGGGTACCCAGGAGTTCCAGGGCCCCAATCCGGCGCTTCGGAGAAGTGTGCGCCAAAAGGGGCTGCACCCATGGGGTGGTCAGGACGTCCATGGAGAACCACAGGACCTCCTCCTTGGCCGGGTTAAGAGAGGGCGAGAACCAGCCGCCAATTGCCACCCGGCCATCGTCCTCGCCAGCATCGCTGCTCCCGTAGCATGGAGTGTTATGCTGCAGGCGTAGAGGAACGCAGGGGCCAGCATCCAAAATGGAGATGAGCAGAGTTGCCAGGAAACGTACAAGGTCTCCCGGTCTGCATTTCCGTTCAAGTTTCTGCTCCCAAGCATAGAGTGGCTGGAGGTGGGAGCTCACCTGAGGGTAGGCTTTCGCCACCCACTGCAACTTGCCCAGTAAGGAGGTGATTTCCTTTCTGGTATGAAGTTCCCCTGCTGCCAACTTCGACAAAGCCGGACGGAGGATGGTCATCTTTTCCTCCCAAAACCACACAGAGCCCTCGAAGATGTTAACCATGTAACCCAGCCAACGGTTGACCTTCCCAAGGGCATTCTTGTGCCAAGAGATAGGACAGCCCAGCAACGTAAGGAAGAGCATGAGGGTGGCCGCCCCCAGTTCGCCGAGGCTCTCCTTCATAACCGCCATGAAGTCATCGACAAAGACCAGTAGCCACAGGAAGACCTCAGAAATCTGGTAAGAGAGGCGGGTGAGGATGGCAGCCAATCGGCCCCAGTAAAGCTGTGCCGAGGCCACCCCATAGGTGCCGACCTTATTGACCCAGAACTTCTTCTTGATCTTGGCCACCATGTACTTCCAGTGCTTCTTGAGGACTTTGATCCTCCGGTGGGCCTTGCTAACATCGGACTTGAAGAGGGTCAGGTCCTTAGACTTCAGGTGGAGCCAGGCAAAAAGCAAGTCGTAGAGAGTCGGGGCCGTGGTCTTCTTGTCAGTGTTCGCCCTGATGTTGTCGTTGACGCCGATGACAGAGGCGTCGAAGATGGTCCTGACCTTGTCCAGTTCCTGGATGCCCGCCATGGCCCCGACACACAGTTCTGCGACCGAGCAGGCACAGAGGTCCGCTGCCTCCTGTTCCGACAGGGGCCCATCCACCATGTCGAGGAGTTTTTCTTCCAGGAAGGTTTTCTCGATGGTGTCCTCGAAGACCTCCGCGCTGGGGTAGTTGTCGGCAGTGGTGGGAGCCGGGGGCTCCAAATCCCGAGGTGCATTTCCCAGTTCCTGCTTGGACGGCCATATGTTCGGGTCCGGGAGCGTTGGGCCGTCCACCCCGAGAGGCACTCCTTCATGAAGGTGTTGGAGGAAGTCCCGGTCCAGGTCCTCCGCCAGCTCCACCAAAGCTTGTAGAATGTCCAACGCAAACGGCTGACCAGGCGAAACCTCAGCTGAAACAGGTCGTTGGAGTCGGGAAGAGAGGAGTGATGCCAGTCGTTGGCGGAGGTCTGCGACCACTGGTCTGGCCAGGGGCAGCCCCGCGCCTGGGTTCTGAGCGATTCCCGAAAGGACGTCATCGGAGAAACTCCAGGGGAATCGGCACCTGTGGCTAACTTGCATTTGTCCCTGTCTTCAGGCTTGAGTCTGCCTGGGGATGGCTTTCCACCACCATCCCTGAAGGGGCGAGAACGGTGTCCCAGCCGGACAATTAGGGTCCTAGCCGTCACAGGAGCCAATTCAATGCCGAAGCAACGGACCGGTCACCATCCGTGTCCCCGGTCCCCGGATGTTGAGAAGAACGCTAGCAGGGCCGTGGCCAATTCAAGATTGAATTGCCACCCCCACCAGACAGGGTGGTCCGGATGCCTGCACCTGAGGCCACCCAGTCCAGGGCCAGATTGCTAAGAACCGCCGTGGGTTTCCTGGCTCCGTGCCCCAGCATACACTGGTCAAAGCAGTGTATCTTCATCCGCGTCAGGCCCGCGAAGTCTTTACACTGGGCCGTGGCCCACCACGAAGAACAATTCTGCTGGGCCGCTTCCAATGATGCGGCTTCGACTGCTTTCAAGAACCAGGGGGCGGACATTTTCACCTGTTGCGAGAGAGACGCACTCCCGCTCCTCCTTGTGGTCCAGAAGGGATGAGAGATGGCCCACCCACGTCTTGAAGGAGTATGCGGATGTACCCACCGTCAGGACAGTCCTGACCAAGCTTGGCATGGCAATCTGCAACCTCCGGACGCTGATGGAGACCCCGAACCAGCAGGACACCACGCTCCTTGACCTGGTCCCGGGGGCGGAGGTCGCTAAGAACATCTTCGATCATCTGGACTGCTCCTCCCCCCTGGGCCTCCTTCAGGCGCACGCTGATGGGAACCTCCTGGATTTTGGGCAACAGGGGTGGGAGCACTTCGACAGCCCCTCGGGACCTGCCCTGGTGGATGCCACTGGTCGTGTCCTCTCTCTCTCTGATGTTACCAAGGTGGAGGCGACGGCGGGGGGTATCTTTGTGATCTCCTACCTGGATGGCACGTCTGTGGACGCCAGCTTTGGACCTGGCGTCGAACCGGGCCCGGTCAAGGCAGAGGGGGACACCCCGGTTGCCTCAGGTGCCGATGGGTGGACCCCGAAGCCGGAGCGGCCGCCCACGGACCGGGACATCGCAATGGAAAACCTTAAGAACTTACAACAGGCGGCCATGGAGGAGGGGACCGTGGACGCGGCGGAAGAGGTAGCTAAGACGGCACTCATCCCGGGAAAAAGGGCGGTCGCAAACATGGCTCAGGTCTCTTCCGCCACGTTGGAGGCCAACCTCAGAGGGACCAACCAGGGCCAGGGCCTTCTTGCTGCGATGCGTAGGACATTGGCACCCCAGGAGATGACCTTTGACAAGACGGAGAAGGCCAAGCGGGAGGAGAATAAGAAGCGTAACGCGGAGCAGCTCCAGGACCATTTTGTTTACACTCCGGTGGTCCAGCAGCCCAGCCTGTGGAGCAAGGAGCTTGTCGAGCTGGTGGAGCGCCACTCAGAAGGAGTCACGGGGGAACTCTCGAGTTTCCAAGAAACGGACCCAGACGTGCTCGGCCGGATCCAATCCGAAGTGGTGGCGGTCCACAAACTCATCCAGTCGATACCGAATGTCCCTGAGGACATCGAGGGTGGAGACCTCAAGCACCAGGCCGACGTTCAGCGGGTGGCATCTTTCTTCAACCCGGCCCTCTTCGACAAGCCTTTCCCGGAGCTGCAGGGGACGAAGGCCCCGGAGACTCTGGAAGACCAGGTCCGGACCCTGAACGCCATGTTGCAGATGTGCAAGAAACAGTCCTACCTCACGGGGTGGAGGTGGGTGAGGCAACCGGGCTCGGTCACTCAGGTGGAGGCTGACCAATGGTATGCCGGCTGGACGGACCTCAGCCACACAGCCTTCACATCGGCCATGCATGCAGTGAACGCCCTCTTCGCCAAACATGGTTTGGCGACTTACAGCCTCCAGATCCCGGAGATGGTGGGGAACCTCCTCAACCCTATGGTGGCTCTCTCCAAGCCGGTGGAAGAAGGGGAGGTGGACAGAGAGCCCCACCATTGGCGGCTCAACCTCCAGACAGTGACCCTCAAGGAGCTGTTGAACTGCTATGGCAGTGTGCTCTCGGCCAAGGACATCTGGAACATGGTGGGCCCAACAAAGAATGAAGGCCAGAAGAAGTTTCAGAAGGGTTTTCCCCTGGTGCGCTCCAACCTCCGCAAGCGTGGAGAGTACCGTGCGGCCCGCCGCCAGGCCTTCCTTGACCTGCGCCTGAAGGCTAAGTCGTGGATGGAGGCAAGGGGGTTTGGAGAACCGAAGTGCCCGGAGGACTACGCGATCATCCTGCGCCGCATGAGCTTCGAGGTCCACTGCATGAACTTCCTCCACAACCCCAGTTGGCTCAGGGACCTCCCGGATGCCCCGGTCGTTGACTCCAAAGACAGGCTTCGGCTACGGGCGGAGTATGACCACAGAGTCACGCTGCCTATCGAGTCCCTCCCGGTCGACCTTAAGTTGTTCTTCTCGGGCAAGCACAAGTGGGCAGTGGCCTTCCAGTACTACCGTTGCACTGGAGGGGCTTGGGTGAAGGCCCCGAACTTCGTGGACAGGCCCAACCAGAGGCACTGGATCCACATGGAATGTGGCATGGTCCTCCCGGCACTGTCAGGCTTCGACTACACCAGGGTTGGCTCGAGCAAGCGTACCAAGAACCGTTATGCCTGCACCCTTTGCAGGACGGAATGGGGCCGGGACTCGGTGGATGGCAAATGGCTCAAGGGCCACGAGATGCACGGCTGGCTCCTTGAGATTTTCGATGGCGAAGTGGTCTTGCAGGCCATTGTCACGGCCCCGCCGCAGGCAGAGCGCGAGAGGTGGATCCAGGGGCGCACGCTCTTCTGCCAGAAGTTCGAGGGCACGGCCCCGCTACTTGACGCGGCCCCACACAAGATGGGGGGCAGGACCCCTTCCGCATCCGCTTGGGTTCTGAAGCCTCCACACAGCTGTGGCGCCTGGTCTTCTCGGAGCCCTCTTTGGAGGCTCTCCAGTCCTTGGATGTCCTGGCCGATGCGGTCAAGGGAGAACTGGAGTCTGATGTGGAGATGAAGATCGCGACCCCCTAGTCTGGGAACGGTGGCGTAATCGATGTCGTGGAGCCTTTGGGCTGTTTTACGGGGTGCCACATCCTCTTCTTCAACAAATTTGGGGGCACTGCCTCCCCAGTACAGCCTCGATGCTTGGGGGACGGGGGGGGTACGGTTGCCTCAGGTGCCGATTCCCTTCCTTGAACCTGAACATCGAGGGCGACAGAAGGGGAAGGCGCCTCAGACGCTTGCTTTGGATACTTCCGGCCTCGGGCTGCTCAAAATGGAAAGGACGTGCCTTGTTCTGCTGGGATTTCTGGTGGTTTTCTTCCGGGGTTTCTTCTGGGGTTTTCCCTGTTTCCTTTTGGTGTTCTGGGTCCTTTTGGTGTCCTTGCTTGGGAAGGGTGGATGCCTCATGGATCTGCATGCGCCTGTCTGACGGGCTGTGATGTGCTCTTGTCACTATGACTGGCCGGGCCCCGCAGCTGGTTGTCCGGTCGCTTCCTCTTGTTCTCCCTTCTCTGTGCCAGCGGGCCTTTGGGCCTCACTGATGGATGCTGGTCAGGTCGCGGACACGCGGGGACCGTGAGCTGACAGAGGCTATCTGGGAAGGGCAAGAGCCAGAACCGGAGACCTAGACAGCCTCCATCTGGGTTAATGTGGTGGCATTGCCTGTGTTTTCCCTGGGCTCTTTGCTCCTCGCTATGGGCGAAAGGGAGGCTGGTCCTCCCTCCGGTTGCCTCAGGTGCCGTTGGGGGGGGTCCTTCTCCCACGTCTCCTGCATGGAACATGCTTATTCCCGGGCGCTCAAGCAGACCCTCCCGGGGTTGGAGGTCACTCTGAAGGACATGGGCCTGGGCCCACACCCGGTGGAGTGTGATGTTGCTGCAAAGGCCTTAGTTACTGGATCCCGATGTTGTTGCTGGTGTCAAGGCGACCTGGCTTCAGTCACTCCCTGAAGATAGGAGTCAAAAGCTCGAGGAGGACTTCACGGGGGCTATAACACGGCTCCAACTGGCCGCGTCGGGCTGCCCTTCATATGGACTTCTCTCTCTCCAGTTGGTCAACTCCTGGCAGATAAGGCCTTTGGACGGGCCCTCCCAATGGAACGCCTGGGGGGGAAAAGGTCGTGGGAGCACTGGGCGCCTAGGCCTTCTCGGATGGAAGGGCCGGTCAAACAGCTTGCCCTGGACAGGGCGGCAAAGAAAAAGTGGGCGGACAAGATCATCTCCGTTCTTGCGCCCTACCACAGACACTTCGATAACATGCAGGACATCAAGCCGGGGGAGGACAAGTATGAGGTCTGGAGGCCCTTGGTTGGCAAGGCCAGGGTTAACTCCCTGAAGTCGGTCTTCTACAGCCTCAAGAAACTCCGCTCGACAATGGGATGCTCCCCCTTGCCATTTTCCGAAGACATGGCAAAGCACCTCCTGCATGAGGCGGTTGACCAACAGTTTACAATCTACAGACTGGGGCAGTTGTGGAGGACACTTCACTGGATCCCCCAGCAGAGCACTTCGGAGGCTTTGACCCCACTGTCAACCAGGCGATCAACAGGCGCTATGAGTACACCAGGGGCCTCTTGGTCTCTTCGGAGGCAAAGAAAGAAAGGAGGGCCACCCCGCCTTCCATGGAAGTGGTCATGGCGCTTGAGAAGTTGGCGGGGACCCTCCCGGATGGCTCAAAGGATGGCTACGCTGCCTCGTTCTTCCGGTTCTGCATAGGGGCCTCGGCCAGGTTCTCTGATACAGCCCATACCAGGCCTGACTCCATGAAGATCACTAAGGACACCCTCTAGTTCACCGCCTGGCAGACTAAGGTCAAGAAGGTAGGGGACAATGATCGCCCCCAGCCTCTCGTCGCACCTCTGGTCTCCTTCTCCCAGGTGGAGTGGTGGGGACCTTTGATTGCCCTCAGTAAGAGGCGTAACAGCCTGGCCACGAAAGGACTTGAGGACGATTACCTCCTTCCTGTCCCAGACCGCGATCGCCTGGACTTCACAAGGGCCCCCTGTGACAATTCTCGGGCCCTGCGGTGGCTTAGGGCTCTTCTCTCGATGAAGGGGGCCAAGATCCCGGAGGAGGAGGTGAAGATGATGACTCTCTCTTCGTTCAGGGTCTTCATGCCGAACCTGGCGTTCCAGATGGGTGTCCCCCGTGAACAACGACGATACCTGGGAAGGTGGCAAGGGGACAGCATGGCGGATGTCTACACGAGAGAACACCGCTCGGTGGTCCTTTCCATCTGGAAAGAGGTCCTGTCGAAGCCCCAGCCGAACAAAGAGGATGGGATCCGTTTCGTCCCTGAGGACCTTGACGCTCCTTACTACCAGTTGGCTGAAGAACCACGTCTGGATCCCTCTGAAGCGCAACTTCCTGTGCTTGCGTCGGCCAAAGATCCTCAAGAGGAAAACCGGGCGGACGGCCCTGTCTTCATGGCCACCAACTCTCGAAAGACAGGATCTCCTCCTGTGTACCGGGTACACTGGTTTGACCGAGGCTACCGCTGTCTGGGTTGTGGTTGGAGGCCCAAGGACTCCAAGAGTCTGGTAACCTTCTACGAGCTAGACTGGACACCGGACTATGTCTTCTGTGCAAAGGCGGCACGGGCCAAGCAGCCCCCGGACTGCTTCCTACGCGACGTGGTGAACAAGGACTCCTCCAGCGGGGAACCCTCGGACGGCTCGGGTTCGGCGAGTTCCCTGGAATCGGACTCTTCCTCTTCTGTCGACGAGGAAGCCACTCCCCGCATGGGAGCGAGCCCGGGCCTCCTCCTCCACGAGGTCGGTATCTACGGTACCTTTTTCGATTGTGCCATAATGTCTCTTGGCCCCCTGGCCTTGATACCAGGACTCCTGGCGACCCCTCGTTCCCTAGGGGCGGTTGCCACAGGTGCCGATCCCCTGGGGGTGACTTGGGTCTTTTGAGCGAATTTTGCCACGTGTTAAGTCCTCGGGCCCTTCGGAGGTGGCAGGCATTAGCCCTGCGGACTTGGCGTATTTCCGACCGGTCTTCGGACCTGTCTGAGCTATGCCTGCCCCGGGTCCCTCGGAATTTTGATCTGATCTGCCACTTCTCGGACCTCGTCGGATTCGGGGAAAAAGTGCGTGCGCCTAACCTAGGGCTTGTGGCTGCACTGTGACTTGTAGAGGAATCCGTGCTTGCACTGATCAACTCGCATGTCATAGGGCCAAGCCTACAGCCTTCCCTCTGCATCCTGCTCGGGCCGGCTGCCATTTTGGGTCAGACTCGCGACGGGTCTCGGTACCGCGGGGTTGTTTCCCGTGTTGTTCTTTTTCTTGCCCTCCCGCCCTCTCCTGGTTTTTCTCTCGCTCTTGCCTTGCCCTCCTGCACCCTGGCAGTATGGACAGACCGGGTGCTGAGGTCGATGCCAAGCTGACCCTGGCACGGCCCCCGGAGCTGTGCCCAGACCCCTACAAGGAGGAGGTCATGAAAATCGAAGACCACGTTCGACTGGTCCTGGGAAAGCAGGGCTTTGTCACGGCCCAGGACTGGGCAGGCCGTTGGGATGAAAAGGAACTCCGGAAGGAGGCTCCCAAGTTGGGCTTTTCACCAGGCCAGAATGGCTACGATGAGCACACTTGCGTCCTCACGGCTATCCGCCTGGAGAACGCGGTCGAGCAGTTCAAGCTCCTCAAGAAAAGGAAGCTGGCCGAGGTGGATATCCACTCGGTCGAAGACTACAAAGCAATGATTGGCAGAGGTGACCGCCAAGAAATGAGGGCAGCTTACCTCTCCAAGTTCGGCACGGAACCGGAGCGGGAACACGAAGGATCTGACCATATGCTTGGCGTCTTGAAGAGGGTTTTGTACCGAGGAGAGTTCCTTTCAGGCTCCCAGCTGGATCTCAACGTTGCAAACCACCCCAAAGATGGTGAATTGAAGTTCCAGAAGCGCCAAAGCAAAGAAGATGAGGAGTGGATCCATGAGGAATCCAATCGGGTCCAGTCGGAGAAGCAATGGAAACGGGTCCTCATGATCTGGCGCACGTCCCTCCTCATGGTTGTGGCGACATGCACGGGCCCCTCTTGCATTCACCTCACCAAGGCAGACTTGGACGACTTTTACAACTTCCTCTTCGGGGACACCATCATGGGCCGTGAGCCTGCCCCCTCATTGGGGGTTTTAATGACAGCAGAAAGAAAGGTCTGGCGCCAGGTGGCCCTCAACATGGCCAAAGATGAGACCTTGACCATCACAGCCGCCCTCAAAGAAATCCAGAATAACTCGCGATTCTGGTCTATGGAAATCGATGAGTTCTGCTTTCGTCGACACCATACTGTCCAGCCCAAAGGCCCTAGAAAAGGCAAGGGCAAGGGCAAAGACAAGGACAAGGGTAAAGTCTGGCAGCAGTGGGACTATTGGAAAGGTAAAGGCAAGAAGCCTGGCAAAAGCAAGGGAAAGTCGAAGAAGGAAGACTGGCGTTGGGCCACTCGCTCGGAGGAGGCGGCTGACCACCCCCCTCCACCACCGGCGACATTCGCTCGCACCAAGGCATCTCACCAAGAGTGGGCCCCCAAAGGATCCGATGGCAAAGAGTTTTGCAAGAAGTACCATGCCTTCAATCGGTGCCCGGGAGACTGTGGTCGCTCCCACAACTGCCCTGTGATCCTCCCTGATGGCAAGGTCTGCGAGAAGAACCACAGGGCGGCGGACCACTCGTGAGAAACCGGCCCCTCCCCTCCTGCGGTTGCAGAGGGGCGAGGGGCCATCTCTTTCCTCCCAGCCAGTGGCGCGGTGACAGGCTCGGGACCTCCTCGCTCTAGTCCGGCGTCGGTGGGGACGGTTGCCTCAGGTGCCGATTCCCCTCCCACACTGGACGGGTCTGGATCACAGAGCACATCTCGGGCTGCTCCTATTGGGGGTACCACATGGTCCACCCGGGGGTGGTTGCCCAGCCGCCCGCTCCGGACAAGAGTTCTCCAAGCAAAGCTGCAGGCGATGGTGACCGATGGAATCGAGACCGTTGGTGCCAGGCCCTGCCTACGCTTCCAGGCTTTAGAGGCCTCCCTCAGAGGGTCTTGGATAGACTTCTGCCTGGAGTGTCTTCATGGCCGGTTGCCGGGAGGCCGTCTCAGCCCACAGTGCTCATTCTCTATGCTGATAAGGATGATGCCAGCAGCGATAGTACAGGTTGCCCCTCTCTTGGGAGCCTCAGTCAGAGAATTGGACATCTGTAGGGGAGGGATCTTGCAAGATGTCCTTTCTGAAAAAACCTTTTCAGACCTTTGTGCCCTGGCGCTCTCTGGTGACCTCATGGCAATCATTGGAGGGCCCAATTGCAGGACTTGGTCGATTCTGCGACATGTACCCAGAGTCGGCTACCCTGGCCCAGTCAGGGGCAGGAAAGGTCAAGCAGCCTGGGGCCTCGAAGACCTTCCGGCGTCGGTGCTCAGGGATACGGATAATGACTCTTTGCTCTTGCTCAGGATGCTGCTCCTCTCACCTCGCAATGGCGTCGGGCCCTCGGCCCCCTGCATTCCTCCTGGAACACCCGGAGGATCCCGCCAACCAAGGTACCTCGGACTCTCGAATGGCATTGGAGCACTGCGAGGGCAGCCCCCGCAGCCGCCCTGAGGACCTTCCCTCTGTGGGTCTTGTTCTCCAGGTTCACCGCCTCGGCAAAGGTGGCCGCACCCTCAGACTGGTGGGCCGCGTCCTCCAGGGTGATGCGGGCGTTGGCCATGTCCGGGCTAAAGACCACTCCGCATTCGTGAGGCTTCTGCTCCGGGCCATCCGCAGAATCAAACCTTGGGCAATCTAAGTCCGAGGCAAAAAGGAGTCCTCGGGAAGCCTGGTCCGCCATCTTCTGAGCCAGGTCCTCCGAGGAGTACGCCCCCTCCCCCCGGCCAACGGCACCTGAGGCAACCGGACCGGGTGAGGAGTCCTCCCCCATCGGACCGGCAGAGTTGATGGCAGCAGAAAGAGCAGGGCCCGGCAACTTCCTCTCATATTCCGTCTGGGGCCTGCCGAACTTGTACTTGAAGTCCTCCCTAAAACTATTCGAGGTGTTCTGCCAGGCACCCTCCACCAAGCGCCAGGAGGATCCATCCGGGGCCGGGGCCTCGATAGAGGCATTGGCTTCCCTGACAGGCAGCACCGTCTTGTTGCACAGAAAGCAACGAACCCTGAGTGCAGAAGCAAACCTACCCCCACAAGAAGGGTCCGGGCAGATGTAAGGAAAGGGCGCGGTCGAGGCCCTGGGCACCGTGGCTGTTCCAAACCCTTGGCCCTGCTTCTTGAGGATTTCCTCATGGCGGAGCGTCGCCATTCTGCTGCGGAGGTGGCCCCCGACATTCAAGATAGCATCCTCAAGGAGCCCTGAGTTCTCAGACTCCACTGCGGCCACCATCTTCTCCACCACGAGTTTTGGCAGTGAACGGAGGATGGTTGCCACGTCACTGCGGAAGAAGCGGTCGGGCATCACGTCCGGGGAGACCAGCCTGTAGACCGCCTTGGTGGCGTCCACGCACTGGACCACCGCCCTGTCCGTGCCCATCAGTTCATCTTTCGTCAAAGACGGCAGGGAGAGGATGACCGTGCCTACGTTTTTGAAATCCAGCTTGTGCTTCATGTGCATCAAGCCGCTCACAAAGAGGCTCGGGTCCAAGAAAAAGAACAACACGGGAAACAACCCCGCGGTACCGAGACCCGTCGCGAGTCTGACCCAAAATGGCAGCCGGCCCGAGCAGGATGCAGAGGGAAGGCTGTAGGCTTGGCCCTATGACATGCGAGTTGATCAGTGCAAGCACGGATTCCTCTACAAATGTATAGTACTGTATGGCGGAAAGCGTATCGTACGGTGTATGGTATAGGGTGGAGTGTGGTAAGGCATGGTACTGTATATTCTTTGTACAGTATGGTGTCTTGCATAGTACCTAGTAGAGCGCATAGTATACTGTATACTACAGTGCAAAACATACAGTAAAGTATAATATCTACTATGGTGTCCGCAACGTGTCCAGTATTGTGTCTGGTATTGTCTCTAGTATGGTGTCGAGCATAGTGCTTAATATAGTGCCTAGTTTAGTGTAGAGAAAATTGTGGAGTAAGGGTGTATTGTCAAGGTGTATAAAGACAAGCATGGCATAGTGTGGGACAGCAACGTATATAGTATGGTTTCGTATGGTACACTGGGGTATAGCAATGGAGAAAGTATAGAACAGTATAGGAGCATCTGGCCTGCCAGAGCGCCGACACTCGGGCCACCTCCAAGGACTCAGCTGCCGTCATGGCCGCTGCCTTCTGCGTGCGAAGAGAATCAAAGGCACGACAGCGACGACCAAAAGCACTCAGTGTAGGGGCCTTAATAATTAGAATTGGGTTTTGGGGCCCTTTGTAGAAAAGTCATAATAGGGAACCCTAACAATAATATAGGTAATTGTTGAGGCTTCTACATTACTGCAGCACTGAAGATGACAACACTAGTGACAATGCCGACTGCAACAACCACGACCACAACCACACAGGCCAAAACTGGCCAAAACCACTCCTGCCACAGAAGTATTGCAAAGCAAAGCACTGTTGACGAAAGAGACATCCAAAATCAAACAAGAGGTACACCAATTGCGAATCAAATGGTACTGAACAAGCCAAGTACTGACGATGGCAATCGTGGCGATTGTCGTCACCGTTTTCCAAAGAACGAGATAAGGGGCGGACTGCCTACCAGTGATAGCAGCACCGAAAGCAAGATGGGTGGCGGGTAGTCAGGTCGTCAGCGTCGTCGCGACCGCAGCCATTCATGTCAGATGATAGTCGTGGTAGTTGTGTCGCAGTGTTGTTGGTGGTGGTTCAGTTTCGCCGCTGCCGGGGCAGTTGCTGGGTAGAACCGGCTACTCGGGAAGTGCAAGAGCCTCAGCAATGGCAAGATCAATAGCCGACATTGGTCAGAAGCGTGGCAAAGATCTTGGGTAGGGTTGGCCTCCGGACTCATCTGGCTAGGGGACCGGGGGTTTATTTCTCTGCAACATGGCGCTGATGAGGGCCCGATATGACACACGCATAGACACAAACAGAAGTGAAAAAGAAACGACGACCACAGCAAGTTGGAAGAGAAGGGGTCAAAAGATCGAAGCGACAGACGATGAAGGAGCAGGAGGACGATTCCGAGGCAAGAATATGATAAGACCGGGGTGTCTTCAAGATCCTGCCTTACGTAGCCTAAAACGGCAAAACTTTCAAACTGTGATTTTTTGACGGATATGAGAGTTTGCAAGGCTCTTCCACGGGTTCCCCGCCGCGCCTGGATTCTTGGCCGACTCTCGGGAGATACCAGTGCCTTCCTCAGAGGGTCGCAGCAGTATTCCGTCCCTTTTTGCTAGTCAGTCTTCGGAAACAAAACCAAAACAAACTACGAATGGCAAAAGGGTACTACTTGCTGAACCCTGAAATCCTAATGCTTGGAAACGGAGGGGTCCGAGATGCTGCTTCCGACGCCAGTGTGCCAGTTGTTCAATCCGGTCGGCTTGGCCGGTACAACCTGGGTTCACAACAATCACAGTAATAATGGGCTGGAGGGGTTAGGATTCAAGGTTCAAGGTATCCCCTCAATAAATACAATACTAATGACAGTCGTAGACATAGTCGCAAAAAATGCAGCCTCGCAACTAGAATAAAAAAAGTCATAATTATCCCAGTATCTCTCTCGAAAAAAGGCGGGTGGGTACTCTGCGTTCCTCTGCTTTAGTGAAAAGGTAATGCTGGGGGAGACTGAGTCGCGGAAGAGTGTGGAGAGATTCTCTGCCGCTGCCATTGCTCTGGCATTGCATCTGCCGGATTCCTGGAGCAGTGCGAAGATGACCTCGTACAACGGCCTTACTTTCCCAATAAGCCACAGAAACAAATGGTAAAACATTCAGATTGCTGCTCTAAGCCCTAGACCCGAAGAAATCTTAAACCCTAAAACTGTAAGAGCCCAAACCCTAGCAAGGAACCCTTAATAGATCCCTACTTAAAGACACCCTTCATGCTCTGGCATTCCAGAACTCAGCGGCAGCATGCACCAAGGGTTGCCGTTGCGGTTCGTCTGCTCTGCGAGCTCTGCAGCACGTCTCTGAAGGACCCCGAGCACCTCAAAAGTCTTGTTTGGGGGTTGGACCTAAACACCAAAGCAATCTTTAAAAAAGACGACACCAAAGCCCAGATAAAACCCTAAAGCTAGAAAATGAGGAATGCACCCAACACCCTGAATCACAACCAAAACTCGAAGACCTCTCCGGCCACGTTGACGCCCTAAAACAACCAACCCTGTAATCGACCTCAAATGCTGAGCCCAGAACCCGAAACTCCCAAAACCCTAAACTCTCTCTAAATCCCTAAACCCTAAATCCTTACTGATTAAGTGCTCACACCCTAAATCCCTAAATCTTGAATGCCTAAAAACCCGAACCCCACGCCTCCTCCAGCGAATCCTCGTCCTCTAACCGCCCGAAAGCTCGCCAGAAGCTCTCCGGGCTCTCGATCACCTCTCGCCAACCTGGGGTTTGGGCTCAGGGGTTTCTGAGATTTAGTTAGGGCTTGGGGCCCGGGGTTTAGGGCTTTTAGGGCTTGTAGGGCTTTTAGGGCTCGCAGGGCTGTGGGGGCTTACGGATCGACAAGGTGTATACACGGCTTTCAAGGATGGGTGTTGCTTCGCGTTACGGCTGTTGCTAAGTTCCAAACAA